TGTTGTTTGTTGTTGTTGTTGTTGTTGTTGTTGTTGTTGTTATTGTTATTATTATGTGCAAAGTTCCAGTAATTTGGTCGAAAATCACTAACGGCTCCGGTATCACGGGCCAAAAAGTTATTATGTGCAAATTTCCAGTAACTATTAATTCAGTAGAGGGGTAACTGTAGATATAGTAGTGCAGACGTGGGCACGAGAAAGTGAAAGTGGGTGGTTGGCGGGTGCCCTGGTGTGGTCTGCTTCTTTTTTCCTATCAAATATATATCGTCCTTTTCTCCCCTTCCTTCTATTTCGTGCTTATTACTCTCTTGTAATACCTCTAATATTCGGCACTTACATGACCGTGTTTTGATGCCAGTGCCATAAAACACTTACAAAAAACAAAGGGAATGAACGAACTACAACTTGTGTGACGTACCCCTCTCTGGCCACGATGTTGATATACTTAGTCTGTGAGGTCCTCTCCACAAACTGGATACACGTCTTGGCTCCGTTGACGTCATGTTCGATTTCCCTCATGGCTGTGATAATGGTGTCCTTCATACTCGAAGCTGTGGACGGTACATTTTAGAACATTGGCCTAAACTGCTGTAAGCTGGCAAAACGCATCTTTTCATTTTTTAGCGCCAAATTATTTTATTTGCTAATTCGAAAGCCTGATCAGTTACCCTACTTGTATGAAAAAAAATCAGAGCGAAACTGTGACTAGTTTTTTAATACAGGCCTATTAGAATTCAAATATCGGAAGAACCCTTTTTGAAAAAGCCTCTTTATCTCTAAACTGCTGTGCATAAAAAAGAGAGTTTTTTCAGCGTACTGTAATATAGGCCTATAGGATAAACAAAAACAAACTGGCGTCTGTGATGTAGCGAGGTGCTTCGCAATTGCATGCAGGAGACCAGCTACTTCGATTCCTGAGTGGGGAGAATTCTTTTCAAGTACACGACGTATCTCGATCTTTCTGCTAGGATGTCGTATCTCTCTCAGCATGGGTTGGCCCTAACTGGTAGTGTTGGGTGCCCATGCTTCCAAAATGATCTAAATTAAGTCGTTGGTGAAGGCGTAAAAAAACCCTACATTTTACTTTCTTTTTAAGTAGAACGAAAGGTAAAAGTAAAGTATAACCCCCTATCACTCCCCTCAGCTTCGTGCATCACCACGACGCTCTCAACGCCTGTTTCCTCAGTTTCCTGTTCCTGTTATAATCTGCCACAACCTGTAGTGCCTATAGTGTACATCTATGGCCACAACCTCACTATGTAACAGTCGCTGTGCGACTCGAACTTTCTTTATCCTCAATGTAATATCAAATTCAATAACCAGAAGTTGGGTTAAGTTGGGTTGGATCTAAATTCCTAATCAATTTGGAGACAAGAAATTTGTCTTATTCGTGCAAAACGTTTACTCTGTGTTAATATAGTATTATGAAAAGCAAAACAAAATAAAAATTAGAAGGCGCAAATGAAGCTGTCTCTTTTTCTGTGCTTTAAGTAAGTTGTCCAAAGAGCTTTCTAGCCTGCAAACAAGGGTAAAGATAAGCTGTACATCATCGTGAAAGTGATTGCTGGAAGTGACGTGTGGGACTCGAGTTTGATTCCCGAGTGGGTGAGAAATGTTTACCGAGTACATAATGTATCTTAGTCTTTCTGCTGGGGTGTTGTAGTTAGACCAATCCCTCCCAGCCCAAGTTGCCTCTGACAAGCACAGGGTCAGCTGCTTGCCTCCAAAATTTTCTAAATTATCCCGATGAGGGCGTAAAAGTATCTAAATTTTTTCAAATTTGCAATTACGAGTGAATAAAGACATTTTACTTTGCGTGTTGTGATCGTCTATCAAAACAGCGCACTAAAAGACGTGGGTGAGACTACGATGATAATAAGCCACCTCAGAATTACAACGTTCTATCTGCTCAATACCTAGTTTTGAGAAATTGACGCCAACATTTTTGAGTTCCACAATAATATGTCATGCTTTTTCGATTGCATTTATTCGAATATCTTGATAACTACTCCAAATATTCTTACAATTTTTGATAAAGCAAATAGAGCATTAATAATTGCTTGCTGATCTCTCGTTCTTAGTAATTAAAAAAGGTCAAACATGTAATAAAGAACATCTTAATTCTGAGGTAGCGAATAGTCAGTTCAGTGAACAAATTTTTTATGATGGGACTCACGGAAGGAGCTACTGATGACGTAAGGCACCACTCCTTGAGGCCATTTGTGACCTGCATCCTTCATGGCATTTCGGTGCTGAGGAAGAGGGGAGTGAAAGAAAAGAGGTGAGGTGCCTTCTTTCTGTCGTTCATTCATTCTCCTGACCCTGACCCTCTCTGTTTCTATCTGTCTGTCTGTCTGTCTGTCTGTCTGTCTGTCTGTCTGTCTGTCTGTCTGTCT